CCTGCAGCCCATGTCCTTTAGGCATAAATACATGGGGGCTGCAAGTCCCCATCTTGGGGGCATGAGGGGAAGTGTCACAGTGAGCAAGAAACCAAAAAGGTGATATCTATGATATCTATGTGATATTTACGGAGCTCGAAAAGAGCAGCCCCAAAAAGGGTGATGATCCTGTATGCCAAGAGAGGGAGAGAATTTGCAAGAAACTGTGTCAGAGCGCTGCTGTTTTGGCCCATGGGTGACTTATCCCTTCTATGCTAATGATTCAATAACTAAAGTGTCTGAACTATTTTACTCCTGATTTATGGAGTAACAAACATGAAGGTCCAGGTGGGAATGCAGTAGCTTAGTGGAAGAGCACTTCTYTTCACTCTTCCAAGCCTGTCACTCATTCACAGTTATTAGAGCCATCAGGGAGTTTCTCAAATGACAGAATTATCAGCAATTAGATCCCAGGAGAAAGATACTTTATCCACAAAATTCAGAAAGAGACTGTTTTCCAAATGTTTTCTCTCAACACCTTCTAGGATAAATGTTCCTTCTCTTACACAGCATATGTGCAGAACTTTCAGAGATTTTGACACTAACACTAATGAAAAAGAAGATTTATTAAGATTAGCACTTGAAAAATCCAATAGTTGAAAAGTGACAGCATTGTACAGATAAAATCCTGTGTGACTTGGGTCTGCACCCAGATGGGATTAAGAGGTCTGTCACAAGATTTAGGCGCAGTGYGTTGCCTCAGTCCAGCCAGCAGTTCACACATCAGTCATGCTGTTCCTGTGCCCACCAAAGGCAGTCTCTGTGTGTCACATCATCTGATCAGGGCCACCGTGAGCTGCTGTGTCTGTAGGGCACAGCACAGCCCTAAAGGGACAGACGAGCTCGGGTCCCAGAGCTCTGTGTGTGTGTTTGCAGGGAGCAGCCGGTGTGCTCGGAACGCTGATTTGCAGTGGGATTMATCACTTCAGGTGCAGCCCCACACGGGCACACCAGTTCCACACTGGTTACACCAGTTTAGGCTCAGAGCAGTGTGCTTGTCATGCTGTACTGCCATGTGGAAGCAAACCCATCRGCACCGCAATTCCCAAATTGTGTGGGCTCACTGGGCTGCAGGGCTCCCTCGGGTGAGCTGTGACGGTGCCTCTGTTGGTGTCTCAGCAGGGTACACCTCGAACATGTCTGGCCTGTAAAGCCTGTGAAGCACCCTGCAGATAACCTGTCCTCAGAAAGGTGGGGAGCAGAATTGCTGTTTCACAGGCAGAACCAACCGCAGAACAAGATGGGGCTGGTCTAGCTCACTGCCAAATGCACAAATGAGGCTCAAGGTCAGACCTTGTCTGCCAGGCRGGCAGGTGACAAGCAGGCATGCCTGCTGCCTGTGCTGTGTGATAGATGTGCAGGATGTTAACAGATGACTACTCACAGGATGTACCCAAAGCAGTGCTCCCACGTCACCGGGCTGGTTTTAATGCCAAGGTTCCACCTGCAGGTGTAAGGAGGCRTTCACACACCATTTAACGACTAAAGCATGGGTAGAACACAGCACTGGAATGCCCGGTCACCTGTCATTGTTCCCCATAATTTTAAAATTGAATTTCAGTGTTTAGGTTATTTCCTTCTTGTTAAGCTGGAAAATGCTTTTGTGAAGTATTTGTACTGCTTTGTTTTGACTAATTTGTTGAACAAATTGTATTTTCAGAAAGCGTCTTCTGAACATGGTCCTTTGAAATAGTTTGTTTTCTGAAACTTGTTCCTCAGCCCATATTGGTTCCCAGCTCAGCAGGTGATGAGCATGATAACCRAAACCCCAGCACATTTTTGATTTTTGGCAACAAGATCAAATTTGACAGCGTGAGTGATCTCATCATTGACAAGGACAGTCTTGTGAAGTTGGAATTAAACTAGTCTCACATTCCCACCAAATCTTTCTGTCTATATTAAAAGAACTCAGATTTCCCAGATATCTCAGTCTGGAAGGAAGGGAGATTGCAGAAGACCAAGGTAAAAAAAAAAAAACCAACCCCAAACATATTAAACCTATTCTATTCTATTCTATTCTATTCTATTCTATTCTATTCTATTCTATTCTATTCTATTCTATTCTATTCTATTCTATTCTATTCTATTCTATTCTATTCTATTCTATTCTATTCTATTCTATTCTATTCTATTCTATTCTATTCTATTCTATTCTATTCTATTTACACTGCATGTTCCATATTTTATATTATATGCTATGCATTATAGAGTATATACAGTATATCATACATATACCATCTGTTATGTATTTCATATTTCACAAAACATACATTTGTTCTGTTTTATGTGACATTATTCACACCCTCCACAGCAAGGAGCACTGCCTGTTTTGAGCTGTGGCAATCAGGTTGATCGTGTGGTGCGCATACAATAGGGGAACCGATCCAGTGGCTTGGGAATGAAGGATGAGGTAGGCTTTGGCTGGCTCCTTCCTCCAGCCTGTCCTAGTAACTGAATCCTTCTCCTCACCTCTGCACTGATTTCCCCTGAAAACCCTTCTCTCCCACACTTTTAAAATTTTTTGAACATTTTAAATCTCTTTCTCCAAGGCGTGACACCACATGCTCCAGCACATCAATTGTTCCCTGGATTTACAGGCAGTTGTTGCTGTCAAGGTCAAATGACAGCAAAATTAGGGAAGCAATGTGACGCACATCCATGCTAAGATTAAATTAAATGCTCATAAAATTATCGGCCCTTCAAAGCAAATTATGTCCTTTTCTTGAAAATGTGGAAGGTGGGAGGCAAAGCTTGAAAAACATTCAGTCCTGCTGGCATGCCCACGGGAAATGCAGTGGTCCCAGATGCCCAATCCCTAGAGAGAAGGTTCTCCAGCTAAAGTGGAGCCAGCAGACAGCCAAAACATAGCACTCTTTGTGAAACATAGCCTGAAAAGTCTTTGGTACAATGTAGCTGAGTAAGATATGAGCCTCTAGCTGGAGAAAAACAGGTAATCTGAAGCAAGAGGAGATAGACTTTACTGCTTTTTCTTTTCTTAAACATTCAGAAATGTGCTGAATGGCTCATTAATACAGTAAGTTTTCATTCATCACTAAACAACATTGTCAAAACTCAAGGATGACCTCTTGTCAAGTGTTTTCTTTGCAACTGCTTCCACAGTTCATCCTATCTTTGCTTTTTCCAGGTTTCTTTTCCGTTAGGGACAAAAACACATGAGGCCTATGAAGCAGTGATGAGCACGTGAGGGAATTTGCACAACTTTACTTTCATTTATACTTTTGTCATTCAGCATGGCACGATTTAGACTGGACCATGTATCACCTAGTTTACAATTTTTTTTTGTCTTTGAAGTTTATCTTATTATATTGTCTGCCTAGTAATACAAAATTTCCCCAAAGTAAACTGTTCATGTATTAAGACGATAAGGAATTTCCATGCAGCCCTTAACTGATCTTCACCTGCACAGTGCAAGTTGTTTCTGGATGGAAGAGGTAGGCACAACTTCCTTCATCCTGAGCCACATAGACTTAGAAATGTGATGTGACTTTTAAAGGTCACAGGAGCCATAACAGGGGATGTGGCAAACATAAAAGGTAGAGGTTAAAAAAAAACATCTTGCTCTTTTTTTTTCTCTTAAACTCTTTTCTCTCTATTCAGGGTTATGCACCACAGTGGTAACATCAAAACAGGCTCCAGATGAACTCACATTTCTCTCAGTAACAATCTAACTGTACACAGGCAGAAACTCTATTTGAATTAGGCCATGTGTGATTTTGTGGCACCTACCTGCCACCTAAAGAAATACCATTATGTAAACCTTCATGCTACACTTCATGTGTGATAAATCCTCAGTGTGTCCTAATTTCTTAATATCAAAAGTATTATAAATTTTGTATTTTATGTATGGTTAGAATATGTGTCTGTGGTTTTAYATAGGACAGTTACTGAAAGAAATAGATTAAAGAACATTCATAATTTGCTACTAAAAAGTTATTTTACACAAGTTGTTTATAGAAGCTGTTTTTACAGATATTTTCAACAGGCTGATGAGATCCAGAGGCTTCATAAAGGTTTGATACAGGGGCCATACAGCCCCTACACAACCTTGCAGGACCAATACCTATAGGTCCCATCTTGTGTGAACATCTGAGTTCTGGACTGCTCGGAGGAATAGGAGTCTGGTGTCAGAGATGCTTTTGACTGTTGTTTCCATTTCCTGATCCAAAATGTTGTGAAGCAGCGTAAGGACTCCAGGTTTGGAATTTACAAGGCTGCTTCTGGAAGTGGTCGGCAAACAAACCTGACTGGGAAGCACAGCTTTGGAAAGCAAAAACTTTGATGGAAGTATGAGCATGAACCCAGTAAAAGACTTTCATCTGACTGCGACATTGCAGCCATGGGGACTTGGTTACTGGACTGGACAGCTGGATGCCCAAAATATATATATCACAGAAGCTTTCTAAACTTGGGGATTTGTTCAGTTAAATTAACTGGCAGGGTGACACAAGCCAAGACAATAGGTAGAACACTGCCGGCCTGAGTGAAAGCTTCCTGGACTGCTTTTTGTTGTAATCTTTCCTGGGAGAGGGAGCACAATCTGCAGTTAAAACTAGAAAAGCTGAAACACAATCCACAGCATTTTTTTTTTTTATGCAGAGTATGACAATTTCTCTAAATGACTTCCTTGGCCTGAYGATATTAAATATTCCCAGTGTGAGGGAGGAGGCTAGGCTAGGAACTGACTGTATACCACACTCTCTGGGAATACCCTGCCCTTGGGAAGGACATGCTTGATGTCACTTTATCACTGGYTGAGTCAAGCCTACAGCCACTGTTACTGAACAGTGAGACTGGAAGGAGATAAAACCTTGAAGGAACCATCCATGAAAACTTCTACAAGTGACTGCATCACACATTTTCTGAGCACACAGAGACATCTCTCCATCAAAGGGCAAAATTTATCCACACAAAACTACATAAAACAGACTCACTGTTGCTTGCAAAAGAGTTTTTAATGGCACCAACCCCAAAGAGATTACAGACAGTGGCAGAGGCCAAGGTACCACAAGGGCACTGGAAAGCAAATCACAAAGGAAGGGACACAAGCAGAGGCAGAGATCGAGGTCTCACATTTCTTGCTGGGGCTGCATCTTCCCTCAGGGTCACAGGATTTGCATTCTAAGAGTCACGSCCAGGGCGAAGGGGACGCAGGAATGAGAGCTTGTCATTGAAGTCGATTTCCTTGTAATTGGGAACATCTTCGTGCTCCCGGGCGAGGTGTCGGGRTCCGCTCCCATCGCTGTTTTCACAYAGMAGCCAGGCACCCCTCTGGACTTTGTGAGAGGACACGATGTTATTGTCCTCTCCCCCAGCCAGGTCGGTTGCTTCTGTCACTATCCTGCTCCTCCCTTTATACTCAACGTGCTGATAGAGAGTGATCTGGGGATTGTGCAGATCGTCAGTGATCAGCTGCAGAGAGCTGATCTTGTCATTCATCTCTTTACCAACAGAGGMGTATTCTCCCTCCTCAAATACCAGAAACTGACCCTTGTAGTGAACGTGCTCATAAGCCACCCAGGGCTGSCCAATTACTTTCACTGARGASACAATGTCATTCCAGCCTACAGTGGTTAGGTTGGGAGTGTCGGTGGTGAATTCTTTGGACAAACCCTGGAAGTTGACGTGCTCATAAATGATGATTTTTCCCATYTCAGTAGGATGTCAGTAGTYTGAATTTCTTCCTCTAGGAGCTGGATAGCTGCCTATATGAAAGAAAGACAGAAAACAAGCAATGCTTGTTAGAAGCCTTTGCACACCAGACACAAAATKATGGAGAACTTGGTGGGGAGGAAGAGAATAAAAGGAAAATAAAAGCATATTGAACACTAAATAAACATAGCAGCAGCTGGAAAGGAGTGAGGGCATGACATAGTAATTTTCATTTGGAAGGGGGTGCAAAATGAGACATGTGCCTGCAGTGGTCCAGTTTTAATTAATTGTGTGTGTCGGTTTAGGGATATGCCCAAGAGTAAGTTGTAAAATACTCTCACAATTCACTCCTCACAATTATGTGTCACTGGCCCGCTCTACCCTGTCCCTTGCTAAGCTTTGTTTCTCCTGCAGCAGCCTCTCCCCAGCCCCTGCAAGGTGGGTTCAGTCTCTGCCCATGCACTCAGCAGACCCTCCTGTCCGTGCTACTCCTCTCATCCCAACACTAAAGCCTCCTTCCCTTCCCCTGCATTCCACAGCAGCTGCCCCAGAACCCGTTGCAGTTCTCCTGCACAAAGTGTGTCTCTCACCTTGCTGTCAGCTGCAGGGCTGGGCAGAGCTGAGGGCGATTCCTCCAGTGCAGGGCTGCAGTTTGTGAAGGGTGTCTCACCTGCCCCCATTTATACTGGCTCTGGAGTCTTGTGCAACCTCCGAGTTGTCAGAATGAAAAGTGACTGATTCTCTCCAAAAGCCAGATCAGCCACCCTAACTCAAACATACCAAAGTACATTGTGACACACGGGCTGTGGAAGTTTCCTGCTTGCTGCACTTTATATCCTTGCTCTCCTGGGAAGCACTTAGAATGAGCAAGGACTTCCTTTGGGAGATATCCAGGTCACAGAAATGGCATTGAAGAACCATCCCTTTTCTCCTWAGGATCATAGAATCAWTAATGTTGGAAAAGGCCCCCAAGGATATCAAGTCCAGCCTTTGCCTGAAGACCACCATGCTCACTAATCCATTTTACAAATTATATATATTGCAAATAACCAGCTCAGGACAATTTCCCCATTCTCCATACTGCCGTGTACAGCAGCTTGAAGCAGAAAACACACCTAGAGGATCCTTCCAGCCCAAATGCTTCCAGGAGTCCATACAGTGCCCATGGCCTGTCCTAGGCACAGCTCCCCATTTGCCAGAGAGGAGTGCAATCCTACAGAACAGCAAAGGAAAGGTTCAAGGAGGGATATGGATGGGAATGTTTCAGGAAATTTCCATTTGCTATTGCAGAGGTTTGTTTTGGAGGTTTTTTTAAAACCAAGGAGAATTCAAAGAAATGAGGAGATGTCAAGTCCAAAAATATACCGAAGGATTCCTGAAAGTTTTTCAGTAACAGCAGGATGAAATAAAGGTGAAGAAGGATTTTGACCCTTCARTAGAGGGGATTACATTTGACAAGAGAGGAGCTGAGAGAATGTGGAGGAATGGGCAGGGCAGTCTKATATTGGGGAAATGGAATTCATAAATGTCCAACAAGTAAACTCAGAGTTATTGTACCTATGATTTGATGATGGCACTTTCTCATTTAAATTGAACCGTGAAGCAATCAGGCAGAGACTGACAAAGACTTTTACATCTTCCTTGGAATTACTGATAAAAAGATTTATTCTTGAAGGGACCTCCCTAGCCCAAGCCCTTATTCACAACAGAGCTACCTCCAAACATGACCAGGTTATTGATGGTCATCTTCAAGTGATTTCTGAACAACTGCAAGGATGGAGATTCCMCACTGTTGGTGACCTTGAGGGTCACCACTGGTTACTGGTTTCCCTGGATCCTGACAAAGCCATTCATGTGTGCATGGCAAACAATCRCATTTGTCAAACCACTGCCTGCATTTTCCATTTCTCTGAGTTTGTAGCACAGGAGGACAGGGAGGTGATTTGAGACAACCAGCACAGCTTCAGCAGTCCGAGGATGAGTGGGCTGAGGGCAGCCCTGCTGAGAAGGAGCAGGGGACACTGCTGGTTAAAAACCAGACAAGACCCAGCAAGGTGAGCTCACAGCCTGGAAAGCCAACTGTATCCTGGGCTGCACGAAGTGTGGTCAGCAGGGCAGGGCAGGGGATTCTCCCCTTTTCATTCACTGAGGTGAGATCCAACCTGGAGTGCTGCATGTATCCCTACAGACTTTTTATTTGACCTTTAAAGCCTAGAGAGARTAAATTTCAATGATACAATTGACAGGATATTTATATGATGAGGGTGGTGAGACCCTGGCCCAGGCTGCCCAGAGAAGCTGTGGATGTCCCATCCCTCAAAGTGTTCAAGGCCAGGCTGGATGGGGCTCTGAGCAACCTGGTCTAGTGGAACCTGTCCCTGTGCATGGCAGGGGGTTTAAAGTAGATGGTTTTAAGATCTCTCCCAGCCCAAATAATCCTGTGATTTTGTGATTCAAGGATGTGTAAATTCAGCAAATTCAGCAACCTTGCCATGGTTTCAGTCCCTGTCTCTTAGTTTCATATTCCTCTTTTCACATCTACAGTACCTCCTTCTCAGCACTCTGAAATTTTRTATATCAGCAYAATGAGTCTGTGTAGCTCCAAGCATCAGCAAAATCTTGTGTTTTCCAAGGTTGACTAAGGAGGAAATCTACCCTATCCCACTGTGTAGGGCTTTGTAGACAGAAGTSTCAGGTAAAGCTTTAGCATTTTTACAGGCAAGGCTGGATGGTTGACAGCTGTGGCATTACAGGGTAGGAGAACTGYCCCTTTCCAGCTGCTTACTAAGCACGTAGGGGATAACACCTGAATGTGGTGAAGGATGGTGAAAGAACACCTCAGATAGGGAAGGAATTACAGATTATGGAGTGGTTTCAGGCAATGGAAAAACGTGAAGGTGCAAGAACACCCTTGTTGATGTCATTTCCTAGTTTCTGACATTATGACCTGGAGATTCTTGCAATATCTCTTTTTAGGGTGTAAAATAGTTAATCTTTTGTCTTTTCTCGGTAGTAGAAAGAGCCCTGAAATTGGTGCTTTGGGATTATTTCTMCTTTTAAGTGGAAGATACAAAAGAGAAAAGGAGTCTATTACGACAAACTTGGCAAAACCCTGGTAAAGGGATTTCTTTTTCTTCAGAGATATCAGAGCCTGGGTATCTTTGATGTCAGAAAGGTTTGCAATGCTTGCACAAGAATAGAACTACTCTCACTGCAATATGTAAGAAAATGTAGAAATCATTTGGTAAAGGAGAGGGGGAGAGGCATGGAAATKTCTGTATCTTGCAATTATTTTTATAGAATTATACCTTGCATTTTTACTGATAAAACCAGAAGGCAGTCACATTCAGATTTTTAAAAACCTACAAATGTCTGTTTGATTGGCTTATTATGCATTGCTCCAGTTGTTACCTGCTTTAATTCGTTCACATGTTTTGTTTCCTTCCCATGGCATTATAAATGTAAACTTTCTGCCAAGACCAGCAAGGTCCAGGTGAAATCTTGAAGGAATTCCTACAAGCACAGGATTTGCCTGGAAACCTGGGAAAAGTCATAAAAGCATTTGGGTGGTCAGGTAGATAATTTCCCATGTCTGGAGGCATGAAACACATGGCTTAGGGAACCCTGTTCTTATTAAAGCAAGAAGAGAGAAATCTGGAATGGAAGATAAA